ACTGCCATGTATATCCATGTAGAACGTGTAGACGTATCTCTTATCACCGACTGCCATGTATATCCATGTAGAACGTGTAGACGTATCTCTCATCACCGAGTGCCATGTATATCCATGTGCAATGTGTAGACGTATCTCTCATCACCGAGTGCCATGTATATCCATGTAGAACGTGTAGACTTATCTCTCACTACCGACTGCCATGTATATCCATGTGCAATTTGTAGACGTATCTCTCACTACCGACTGCCATGTATATCCATGTAGAACGTGTAGACGTATCTCTCATCACCGACTGCCATGTATATCCATGTAGAACGTGTAGACGTATCTCTCATTACCGACTGCCATGTATATCCATGTGCAATGTGTAGACGTATCTCTCATTACCCAGTGCCATGTATATCCATGTTCAATGTGTAGACGTATCTCTCATTACCGAGTGCCATGTATATCCATGTAGAACGTGTAGACGTATCTCTCATCACCGACTGCCATGTATATCCATGTAGAACGTGTAGACGTATCTCTCATCACCGACTGCCATGTATATCCATGTAGAACGTGTAGACGTATCTCTCATTACCCAGTGCCATGTATATCCATGTTCAATGTGTAGACGTATCTCTCACTACCGCCTGCCATGTATATCCATGTGCAATGTGTAGACGTATCTCTCATCACCGACTGCCATGTATATCCATGTTCAATGTGTATACGTATCTCTCATTACCCAGTGCCATGTATATCCATGTTCAATGTGTAGACGTATCTCTCATTACCGAGTGCCATGTATATCCATGTAGAACGTGTAGACGTATCTCTCATCACCGACTGCCATGTATATCCATGTAGAACGTGTAGACGTATCTCTCATCACCGACTGCCATGTATATCCATGTAGAACGTGTAGACGTATCTCTCATTACCGACTGCCACGTATATCCATGTGCAATGTGTAGACGTATCTCACATTACCGACTGCCATGTATATCCATGTGCAATGTGTAGACGTATCTCACATTACCGACTGCCACGTATATCCATGTGCAACGTGTAGACTTATCTCTCACTACCGACTGCCATGTATATCCATGTGCAATGTGTAGACGTATCTCTCACTACCGACTGCCATGTATATCCATGTAGAACGTGTAGACGTATCTCACATTACCGACTGCCATGTATATCCATGTAGAACGTGTAGACGTATCTCTCATCACCGAGTGCCATGTATACCCATGTGCAATGTGTAGACGTATCTCTCATCACCGACTGCCATGTATATCCATGTAGAACGTGTAGACGTATCTCTCATCACCGACTGCCATGTATATCCATGTGCAATGTGTAGACGTATCTCTCATCACCGACTGCCATGTATATCCATGTGCAATGTGTAGACGTATCTCTCATCACCGACTGCCATGTATATCCATGTGCAATGTGTAGACGTATCTCTCACTACCGACTGCCATGTATATCCATGTAGAACGTGTAGACGTATCTCTCATTACCGACTGCCATGTATATCCATGTGCAATGTGTAGACGTATCTCTCATTACCCAGTGCCATGTATATCCATGTTCAATGTGTAGACGTATCTCTCATTACCGAGTGCCATGTATATCCATGTAGAACGTGTAGACGTATCTCTCATCACCGACTGCCATGTATATCCATGTAGAACGTGTAGACGTATCTCTCATCACCGACTGCCATGTATATCCATGTAGAACGTGTAGACGTATCTCTCATCACCGACTGCCATGTATATCCATGTTCAATGTGTATACGTATCTCTCATTACCCAGTGCCATGTATATCCATGTTCAATGTGTAGACGTATCTCTCATCACCGAGTGCCATGTATATCCATGTAGAACGTGTAGACGTATCTCTCATTACCGACTGCCATGTATATCCATGTAGAACGTGTAGACGTATCTCTCATCACCGACTGCCATGTATATCCATGTTCAATGTGTAGACGTATCTCTCATTACCCAGTGCCATGTATATCCATGTGCAATGTGTAGACGTATCTCTCACTACCGACTGCCATGTATATCCATGTGCAATGTGTAGACGTATTTCTCAAAACGGAGTGCCATGTATATTCATGTGCGATGTGTTGACGTATCTCTCATTACAGAGTGCCATGTATATCCATGTGCAATGTGTAGACGTATCTCTCACTACCGACTGCCATGTATATCCATGTGCAATGTGTAGACGTATTTCTCAAAACGGAGTGCCATGTATATTCATGTGCGATGTGTTGACGTATCTCTCATTACCGAGTGCCATGTATATCCAAGTGGAATGTGTAGACGTATCTCTCATTACCGAGTGCCATGTATATCCATGTGCAATGTGAAGACGTATGTGTTGTTTTTAATCCCTCACTTAAAGCCTACAACAATATTTTAGTATTATGTAACATTGGCACAAAAGGTGTTGATATCTATGAACTTGCAATCACCAGCACCGCATAATATGAATATCCTTTCAATAGAAGGAAATTATTGATCAAATTAGTTTGACAATGTATTGACCGTCTCCGTGGTCTAGTGGTAGAGCGTCCGCCCGGAGAGCAGAAGGTCTGGGGTTCGATCCCCGGCAGCGTCATACCAAAAAACGTTAAAAGATGGTACTTGTTGTTACCCTGTCCGGCGCACGGCATTATGGGGCTAAAACAAGCCCCCATCTCGGAGTCAGTATACTGTGTCTGAGTGGGGTATTCATGTTAAACTGCGGCATGGTATCTCAGTGAGCTAGCACTATAAATCGGCATCAGTCCGGACTAGTACAAGCAGCCACACCCCCACACACACACATACATGCACGTCGCTATATAAGTGCAATAATCTTGGACGCGACGTTAAACCCCATCTCACCTCAGTTCACATCTAACTTCCCAACGACCTTGCACCAAGGGGCACCGTATACCAGGCGCTGCCTTTGGGGCAGTTTATACTAGTCGTTACCTGTGCTAGTTGTTACCTGTGCTAGTTGTTACCTGTGCTCTTGTACCCTTGAAAACAATACAGCACAACTTCATTTGTTTGTTTATTAATGAAAAATATTGAACAAACATTTCTATCAAGTGATATTAATTTAAGTGATTTAATTATACAAAATACAAATTAGGACAACTATTCACTAATACAGGCTGGTAGAATATATAGCTAAACTATTTACTTATTGTGGCTAGTAATTTGAACAAATTGTCCCATTTCCATGGTGTCATTTACTTTGTTACTTCCTTTTATTCGTGAAAAACACAAACTCGTCGATTCATGTCTGTGCATTTTTTACTTGACTCCAGCATGCCGCACATAAGTTGTGAGCTTTTCAGAAACACAGGTTTACATTTTGTATTAACGAAAATTTTTTTTTGTCCCAGACCATTTAAAAAAAAGAAATTGTCCCCGACAATTTAAAAAATTAAATTCTGCCCCAGACAGATGAAAAAAGGAAGAAATTGCCTGACACAAGATGACATTGATGACATGTTCTTTTCTTCAGGCACTAAAGTTAAGATAGAAAAATAAGTGTTTGTAGCTGTAACTGATATACAGTCAACTACGGTTATAACGAACTCGCTTATAACGAACTGACGGATATAACGAACTTACTTTTTGCTCCCGACTATTTGCTGTAGTTATGCTGTATATATGCTTATACCGAACTACGGTTATAACGAACTTAAATTAGAAGTCCCTTTGAGTTCGTTATAACCGAGGTTTACTGTAAAATGCAATCTCGGTACAATATCCCAGCCTAACCCCATCAAAGATTGCACTATCGAGTTACACCCCGGCACGAAACTGAGAACATAAATTAATTAAAAATATTAATAATAATTAATAATAAAATCATTCAACAATTATTTCAAAGTTAAAACATCACTATTCAAAGCAACCAATAACAATCATGTCCTATGGAAATATGGGTCAATTATGGCCACAAGTCAATAGTGGGTTGATTATCACGTTATCCCCTCCTGGCCGATGCTGGACTGATGGTCGTTATCCCCTCCTTATCCTGATGCTGGACAAGCCTGGACTGATGGTCGTTATCCCCTCCTTATCCTGATGCTGGACAAGCCTGGACTGATGGTCGTTATCCCCTCCTTATCCTGATGCTGGACAAGCCTGGACGGATGGTCGTTGACCAACGTTTACCCGATAGTGACCAATGCTCGACGGATATTTGCTATCCGCTGCGATGCGAGTCTGGTACTGGCTTGATACTCATTGTCTGATGTTGGGCCAATGGTGACCCGATGTTGGCCCAATGCTCATCTGTAGGCATTATCTGACGTCATCTCGGTGGAGCAGGATGGATGATACAAACAACGACGGGTGAAGGTTCCAAATGTTGGACAAATGTTACAAACAGTGTCTGTTGTGCTATATGCGATATATTTCAATTTCTAAGATTCACTGAACTGGACAATGATTCACAAAGACATCTCGGAAGCGATTTGAGTGAGTGAGTGAGTATGGTTTTACGCCGCTTTTAGCAATATTCCAGCAATATCACGGCGGGGGACACCACAAATGGGCTTCACACATTGTACCCATGTCGGGAATCGAACCCGGGGCCGTCGGCGTGACGAGCGAACGCTTTAACCACTAGGCTACCCGACCGCCCCGGAAGCGATTTTACTTTATATATGCATTGTTAGGTACATCTATATCAAGTCTCAACAAACAAAACGACTCAACCCGCTGGTTCTATTACTACACTTCATGGACATCTTCATCTAGAGGACTGACTACACGATGATGCACGGTGTTGACACCACTTATATCCTACAATTGTTGTCTGTCCAATGTCAACTACTTCACGTCACACCCACGTGACTGAAGAAGATCCTTCAAAGAGGGTTTACTTGATATCATAGCTGCTGTTTTCCCAGAATTGTTTCTGGCATTGATGTCAACTATGCCCAGTGAGAGAACAAACTCCACCATCTCAAGGTCTTGCAGGAAGTATGCAGAATATTGTCACCGTAATTGTCCACCAGAGACAAATCAGCTCCTCTATTCACAAGTAATTCGACTATTTCTCTGTGTCCCAAAGCTGCTGCCTTCATCGCGGGTGTACACTTATCTCGTCCTCTACTGTTGATGTCAGCCATGGTCTGTGACAGGACATACTCCACCATCTCCATATGTCCTCCTTCACAGGCTTTGTGAAGGATATTGTCCCCAAAATCATTCACGACTGACACATCAGCTCCTTTCCCCACAAGGAACTCCACTACGTGTATATGTCCCCCATGCACCGCCCTCATCACGGCTGTTGTGTTAAATAGTCCTCTACTGTTGATCTGTGCCATGGCCTGTGACAGAACATACTTCACCGTCTCAAGATGTCCACTACCACTGGCCCAGTGAAGGACGTTGTCTCCTCCATCACAGACACATCAGCTCCTGCATTTACAAGAAATTCCAACAATTCCCTATGTCCCCATCCGCCTGCCCAAATCACAGGGGTTCTGTCATACATTCCTTTGCTGTTGATGTCCGCCATGTTATTCGAGAGGATATATTTGACCATCTCTAAATTTCCTTGAAAACAGACCAAGTGCAGAATATTGTCACCGCGATCATCCACCAGTGACACATCAGCTCCTTCGCTCACGAGCAGTTCCATCACTTCTATGTTCCCCATCCTTGCTGCCTCTATTACAGGTGTCCAGCCCACCTGTCCCCTGCTGTTTATGTCCATCAGATGCTGAGACAAGATGTGTCGGACCCCCGCCAGGTCCCCCCTCATGCAGGCAATATGAAGGTCAGTGTGGACTGAGGGAGGCTGTGACTCTGTAACAGAAACAGGAGTGAGTGAGTTTGGTTTAACGCCGCTTTTAACAGTATTCCAGTTATATCACGGCGTGTCAGCTTAATGTGGGAGGAAAGCCCGAAGTGATGCAGGTCTCAGACGTTTACCACTTCGGTGAAACCCACAAGCACGGGTATGGTGCTGACAAACGTAGAAACATAATCGGGGTGAACCGGGATTCTAACCCACAATCATAGGTTTCTGGCGTGTCCAAGGGGACGCAACTCTGCACAGCGAATCGCGGCGCCTTAGACGACTGGGCCACCCGTGCCCCCAACAGAAACAGGAATTCTCTACATGTGCAAGCAACATGATGTCTGTGTGGACTGAGGGAGTCTGTGTATCTATAATATGAACTTTTACTGTTTCTTCATGTTATCCTTAGTAGAAGCAGTGTAGGCGTACCAAATTTCAAGTTGAAAAAACTAAATGTTTTCCTCTAAGATCTTCACTATGACACAGTTTCTGAAACATAACAATTCTCAACATTGGCATCATAATGCAACCAGCTGCCCTCACCTCCCTCATAGTCACCAGGTTCTCCATCAGAAGATGCTGTGCCCCCATGCTCATCAGCGTGCTCGTCACTCGAGGCTGCAGAAAAGAATAAGATGTTGTTTGAAACTTGACATGTGATTTGCTTCGACAACAGAAATAACCACGGGTACAAGAGGATTTATTTGCTTTTTATTTTTGTTTTTACATAGACGACGAGCCTGGTATATCATTTTACATTACTGACTTAATTCCGTGAAACATTGTCATGGCTGTCCACATTACATGTTTCCATAACTGCCCGTAAAACATTCAATATTTCGTTCAAGCGAAAATTAAGACAAAAACACTCCTGAACAGAAGGACAGAGTGGGTCTCTGCAAACGACTCAAGTTACAAAATGTGTCGTCAATCAGCAGTCTTACCCCCATGATCATGAGAAGGTGTCAGAGGCGTGTCATTTTCATGTACGTCCGATTCCTTTGCTTCAATCGACACTGGAGAAACAATATCATATTTACAACATGGACAAGACAACAACGTCTGGAATCTGCCATGTGCAGGGTACCGGGCAGTTTCTGTTTAATTTGCTGCCTAGCAAACAAAATATTTTGTTACTGATTGTTTCATTTAGGAGAAAATGATTAATATCAGCATGACCATAAGGCCAAATCATTGCGGCAGGTAGGGCAACAACAACTATATGTGCCATCTTTAACGTATTTTGCTATGACGCGGCCGGGAATCAAACCACTGATATTCCGATCTCCAGCCAGACGTTGTATCCACTAGACCACGGATGTGGTCCAGTATGATGAAAAATATTGGGGATAACATTAATGTCACAAGGACAACTGACAAGTTTACCTCATTCAAAGACACTAGCCATTGAGATAATGTAAGTGATAGGGTGAATTGCTTCAAGAAAAATCGTTAAGAAATTTAACAGGACTAATTTTTCGAAAACTGTAGGGGTACAGATGCATGTATTTTACAGCAGGTACTGATAACAGGGTTAACCTGCTGTGGTGAGAGGTTCTTGCGACCATCTTCGCTTGTCATCAGGAACACAGCCCCCACTGATCCTGTGTCCCATGCCATCATGTACGGCTCCAGCCACGTTGATAGTGAGATGCCCAACGCCGCCATTTGTTACTGCACCAATAACAAAAGACGTGTCAAATAGCTTTGTTTGGTTTTTTTGTTTAACGCCACACTCACCAACATGCCTGTGGTCTGTAAATATACGAATCTGGACAAGACATTCCAGTGATTGACATAATGAGCATCGTTCTACGCAATCGGGACAGGATGACATGCATTAACCAAGTCACTGAGCTGACTAGGGTTCCAGCAGCTAGTGACAAATGGCTATCAGAAGCATAGGTAAATAGAGACATTGAGCAATATCGTGACTAGCAAAGGTTATACATTAGTAATATTTGCAAAACCTTAACGACGATGGACAGCAACTAGATTATCACAGAAACTAGCGTGCGAGCATTACAAATATCTCCCCATTGCTTGGTGGCATAACATGAAACCTGGGCTATACATCCACAGGAGCCAAGATAGATCACCATACTAGGGATTTACTGGTAAATATTCAGGCTCATTGGTGTTAGATAAAGAAATATCTGGTTTTGTAGTTGTACCTGAAAACATATACCTAATTTCAATACAAAATCTAAGGCCCACCTCCCCACCCCACACCCCACACACCCCCAGCCCACACCCAATACCCCACACCCCACACCCCACACCTCCCCACCCCATACCCCACACCTCACACCCCACACCCCACACCCCACACACCACACCCCATACCCCACACCCAACACACCACATCTTACCCCCCATACCCCCCACCCCGCACCCCACACCCCATACCCCACACCGTGTCAGCTTGCGGCAGTCAGTGAATCACACCCCACCCCACACCCCAAACACCCCACCCCACACCCCACACACCACATCTTAACCCCCATACCCCCCACCGTGTCAGCTTGCGACAGTCAGTGAATCCTCCCAGCAGCAACTTGGCAACAGATCGGTCGGTGAAGCCCTCTTTTTGCAGCCATCTCTTAAACTCATCCAACTGGTGGTCCGCCATCGGTTTATCTGTCTCTCCGTAGCCGATCACAAGAATCAATCCCCCTTTAATCTAAAACAGTCATGGTTGACAAGTGATTGTGACAAATAATCAAAAGTTGATGTTTTAAACGCTCCATGATAATTTGGCACTAGACGGTTTTGGTTTCTTGTTGCTTCAAAATTATGTCAACAAGAACTCCCAGTCGCCCAAAACCCAGGATGTAAAATCAACTGAAACCAAATATAAGACACAGTGTGTCATTGGACGTACGTCATTAAGCATGACAGGACACGTATTCTTCCTGTTTAGACATATTTATATTTCAATAAATCATTAAATAACTTCATCCAATCTCATTAAAATCAGATCTTAGTTCTCGCTACCGCTAAACAAAGATCTGAGAACATCCCATTATGGGTCACGTCAGACCGACCTTGCGCGAACTTTGACCGACCAATGGAATGACCAATCAGAAGGCAGCTTTCTTGTGCTTTACGGCACTAATTTCAAATTGGCGACAACGCTTCGAAACGTATTTTGACAATATCTCGATTACAATTTGAAACCTGAACAAAAGAACATCCTTGAATGGCTGACATATGGTCTATATTGTATGGATACGGTCGTTAAGCCCGTAACTATCGTTCGTAGTTAAAGCTTTCGAGGTTGCATGATCAGAAATCACATTCCGACTGTCACTTTCATAATCTGGTAAGCGATGCTCTGATTGGTCGGATGAAAGGTCGTTCTGACGTGACCCGTAATGGGATGTCCTCAGATCTTTGTTCAGCGGTAGCGAGAACTGAGATTGATTTTAACTTCATCAAACAGAACAGCATTGTGTGTCAGCTAATACAGTTTGCAACCTTACGTATTTGAGGCATTTGGGTAATATCGTATCTGCCCCGATGACCCTGTGGTCCTTTAAACTGTTGGTGTACCGTTAATTGTAAACTGATGCACGATAAATGTTGTATTGCTTAAAATGTACTGCCTCTGTTATACTGCATTACCCATACTGCACCTACAGCCATCGGACACACTGAAGATTCTCTAGGTCAGCATAAACTGTCATTGTGAGAGATGAACGCCTATCGGAAACACCAACCAACACATCCTGTCACTGTGAGAGTGGACCACCTGTCGGACACACAGACGGTTACCCTTGTCGTCAGGACGGTCACTGTGAGAGTGGAACACCTGTCGGAGACCCTGAAGGTTGCCCTTGTCAACATGGCCTGTCACTGTGAGAGTGGACCACCTGTCAGATACACTGAAGGTTGCCCTTGTCGACATGGACAGTCACTGTGATAGTGGACCACCTGTCAGATACACTGAAGGTTGCCCTTGTCGACATGGACAGTCACTGTGAGAGTGGACCACCTGTCGGTCACACTGAAGGTTGCCCTTGTCGACATGGACAGACACTGTGAGAGTGGACTACCTGTCGGACACACTGAAGGTTGCCCTTGTCGTTATGGCCTGTCACTGTGAGAGTGGACCACCTGTCAGACACGCTGAAGGTTGCCCTTGTCGACATGGACAGACACTGTGAGAGCGGGCCACCTGTCAAATACACTGAAGGTTGCCCTTATCGTCATGGACAGTCACTGTGAGAAGGGACCACCTGTCAGATACACTGGGGGTTGCCCTTGTCATCATGGACAGTCACTGTGAGAGTGGACCACCTGTCGGACACACTGACGGTTGCCCTTGTCGACATGGACAGTCACTGTGAGAGTGGACCACCTGTCGGACACACTGAAGGTTGCCCTTGTCGTCATGGCCTGACACTGTGAGAGTGGACCACCTGTCGGACACACTGAAGGTTGCCCTTGTCAACATGGACAGTCACTGTGAGAGCGGACCACCTGTCGGACACACTGAATGTTGCCCTGGTCGACATGGCCTGTCACTGTGAGAGTGGACCACCTGTCTGACACACTGAAGGTTGCCCTTGTCAACATGGCCTGTCACTGTGAGAGTGAACCACCTGTCTGACACACTGAAGGTTGCCCTTGTCGACATGGACAGTCAGTGTGAGAGTGGACCACCTGTCTGACACACTGAAGGTTGCCCTTGTCGTTATGGCCTGTCACTGTGAGAGCGGACCACCTGTCGGACACACTGACGGTTGCCCTTGTCGACATGGACAGTCACTGTGAGAGTGGACCACCTGTCGGACACACAGAAGGTTGCCCTTGTCGACATGGCCTGTCACTGTGAGAGTGGACCACCTGTCAGATACACTGAATGTTACCCTTGTCGACATGGACAGTCACTGTGAGAGTGGACCAACTGTCGGACACACTGAAGGTTGCCCTGGTCGACATGGCCTATCAATGTGAGAGTGGACCACCTGTCGGAAACACCGACAGTTGCCCTTGTCAACATTACCTGTCACTGTGAGAGTGGACCACCTGTCAGATACACTGAATGTTACCCTTGTCGACATGGACAGTCACTGTGAGAGTGGACCAACTGTCGGACACACTGAAGGTTGCCCTGGTCGACATGGCCTATCAATGTGAGAGTGGACCACCTGTCGGAAACACCGACAGTTGCCCTTGTCAACATTACCTGTCACTGTGAGAGTGGACCACCTGTCGCACACACTGAAGGTTGCCCTGGTCGACATTGACAGTCACTGTGAGATTGGACCACCTATCAGATACACTGAATGTTACACTTGTCGACATGGCCTGTCACTGTGAGAGTGGACCACCTGTCGGACACACTGAATGTTGCCCTTGTCGTCATGGACAGTCCCTGTGAGAGTGGACAACCTGTCTGACACACTGAATGTTGCCCTTGTCAACATGGACAGTCACTGTGAGAGTGGACAACCTGTCTGACACACTGAATGTTGCCCTTGTCAACATGGACAGTCACTGTGAGAATGGACCACCTGTCGGACACACTGAAGGTTGCCCTTTTCGACATGGACAGTCACTGTGAGAGTGGACCACCTGTCGGACACAATGAAGGTTGCTCTTGTCAACAGTGACAGTCAGAAGAAGTCAAGTCCATATTTGTTTTCCTGCACAGTTATTTGCTTCGGCAATGGTTAAGAACAAATTAATTTGATACAAAGATATTAAAATCATTAAATACCAAATACCAATGACGAGTCAAATAACATTCCGTACGTTGGGAACTTGTGCTTATTAACTCTTGCAAGGACGAAGAATCGTGACACAGAATAACAGGTTATTCTCGGTAACCAAGTATGTAAAAATGTCAGACCCGACCACCTTGGCTTATGTTGTTGGTTGGTTGGTTTGATGTTTAACGCCGCACTCAGCAATATTCCAGCTATATGACGGCGGTCTGTAAATTATCGAGTCTGGACCAGACAATCCAGTGATTGATATCATGAGCATCGATCCACGCAATTGGGATACGATGACACGCATCAACCAAGTCAGCGAGCCTGACCACCCGATCCCGTTAGTCGCCTTTTACGACAAGCATAGTCGCCTTTTATGGCAAGCATGGGTTGCTGAAGACCTATTCTACCCCGGAATCTTCACGGGTCTGGCTTATGTATTGTGCTCTGCAAGACATAGTTAGTGAACGCATAACAAAGACTGTGCAATAACACTGACAAAACTTCGCCTGCTCGCCTAAACATGCCCACTCTCAACGTCGTGAAACAAGTACAAACTAAGGCAATATTTATTTTTCGTTTACACATTTTGATAGTGAAACATTTGGAGGTAGAATTTGGTAAATTCATTTTTTTGTGGATCTTTTTCAGTTTGATTTGGGTCAGTAGGTGATACACATTTCTTGTCCTGTTTTTGTCCTTGTAATGATGTATCATTAGAAAACATATATTTTATATCTCTTGGAATATTTTTATTGTCAAAGCTATCTTCACCGTCAGTGGTATACAACAAGCCATTCTGTTTTTTAGATCGCCAGTGCCGTAAACCAAGGAAAACCTCATGAAAGGCCTTATGCAGGAGGGGATGTTCCCGCGGCAGTAGTGTGCTCCTCGCACCTGTCACGATCAACTTATCTCATAGAAATCTCTTCTGGTTTAACTTCACCATTACATCAATGGCTATCACGTCAATGGGATTCACGTTGAATGTATGGTTGCTGCTTTTAATGGCGTGCATTAGTATAGGCAGTTCTTAGGCGAAGCCTGTTCATTTAATGTATTCCTTTAAATAAAGCGACAAAACCATTTCAATATCCAATAGAAATCTCTGCATAAAGCAGAGTCGATTGTACGATTCCGGCTATATCATGAGCATGTGTGTATGAACCACTATCAAATAGTCATGATATGAGGTGATCGTATCCTGCCCCACCCGTCGCAAACACATGCAAAGGCAAGTCAATTGTTCACATGAGAACACACGGCAACATATGGGACAAGACAAAATTTTGTCACTAATTCGTCAAATTAGGAAATGTCCTCCACATGTCGACCATAAAACTTTTTAAAAGCTTTACTGAAACCTTGAGTGTGTAACCTTGATCAAACAACTTCTGCGGAAGAGTCGTATGACGCTCTTTGAAATCTTGGTAGAAAGAGCATGCTCGATTGTATCTCAAAAGTTGTGAAAAGTAAACACAAAAGGCCGGAGCTGCTGGAATATTGCTTCGAAATATATATTATATCTCGGGCTTCTTTAGAATATATATATTTTGAACAAAGATGCAGCACAGAGCATTAGAGAATGAAATGTCCAGTGTAAACTGTTCATTGCAGACAATTAATGATTTTCAATATACGATAAACATAAGTGACACTTAAATTTCTGACTGTTGCAACTCTGAAATTATTTCAATGTTTAATAATTGTTTGTTTTTGTTTAATGTCGCAGTCAGCAATAGTCAAGCTATATGAGGGTGGTCTGTAAATAATCGAGTCTGAACCAGACAATCCAGTGATTGACATCATGACCCTTGATCTACTCAATTGGGACACGACGCTAGCATCAACCACGTCAGCGAGTCTGACCACCCGATTCCATTAGTCGCCTCTTACGGGCAAGCATGGTTTGCTGAAGTCCAATTCTATCCCGAATCGTCAGGGGTCATTGTTTAATGATTGTACACAACTGAATATACCTTTTGTACATGTAGATGTCAACATCTACAGAAATAGGGTTATACTTTGAGATGAAGACGAATGCATCCTCTTACATCAAGCTGTGGTCTGTTACTTGGTTTAAGCTGGTACTACTTGATGATATTGAATTGTAATGTTTTTTATCAGTTTCAAACTTAAACTAAGGTATTTAGCAAGGCGTTAACTGTCTTTTATCATCCAAAACTGGCTCCCACAGGTGATATCGCTTGGATGAGATCAAGCGATATCTACACTGTAGATATCGCTGCAATGAAATTACATCACAATGCTTTGCAGACCATTGTGACGTCACTGGTTACCATGACGTCACAATCAAATGACATCACTAATGGCTCTGCTACTGAAGCTGTTAGCAGTACTTTTTACACTGAAGACACTGCTAATTATTGTCTACAAATTGAAAAAGTTGGAAGAATGATGTTGGATGATAAATAAAATCTCGGCAAGCCTCGGAAATTTTCCACTTTTATCAACTCGTGTTGATATATTTGATATCAAAAGACACTCGGGTGAGATTCTCTATTTGTCGACGGGGACTTATTAATGATCGACTCGTTTTCATATTTATTTACATATATCCTGAAAACATGAAACTTCTTTTGGAAAACAACTTTGTAACGATGTTTAATGGCTACGTCACAGTGATTTAAGGGTAACGCTATTTTTCAGGGCATTATCATTTGCAGAAGCCCGAGGTCTTCCATTAACTGCCCGACGAAGGAGGGCAGTTGAAAAGACCGAGGGCTTCTGCAAATGATAATGCCCTGAAAAACAGCGTTACCGTTATTATAGCTAAAATGGATGGAATTTGTTATCATATAAAAAGAAACAACAATATCGGTTTTGAAACATTTACTGCAATCAACACGAATGTCACTGACCAACTTTTACAAATATGGTAACGTCATGGAACAAACCAGATGGCGTCACTATTGAACGTGACGTCACCTATCCCTACCCTATGACGTCACCTAACAACGGGCGTGATAATGGCCCGTCGACAAGCTAATGACGGCATTATCAAGTTACAGTGGTCCGCTGGTTTCATGCGGATAACATGCGGATGGTTTAATGAAAATTTTACCATGAATTGGGAATTTACTCGATTCTGATTGGTCAATCAGGGGCTATTAAATCACAATAAACCCCCTCTGATTGAAACAGCTGGTTTGACGGCCGAAATCACCGCGGAAGCTAATATTTATAGAATAGTACTATTTTCAGTCATTGTCGGTAGGCATATTTAAATAATTATATCTACAATTACAGGTTACAAAATGCACAGATGCGGTTACTACAATGTTCAAAGGATGTGTGGCAATACATTTCGTGCAGAAAACACGATAGAAATCTACAAAGGGAATGTATTTACGTTTTGGAGACAACAGAGAGCTTGGAATTTTGGCGTTTTTCTATATACGACTGTGGCGTCATATATTTTGCGTCACAATGAGCGATATGACGTCATAATGGTGACGCGCAATGGAGAGCGAAAGCCTTGCAAATCTTGCTTTGTTTTCTTGAGGGATGCCCACCTCATGTTAGCTTACCAAGTTGCCGTACTTATATGCTTTCAATGCCTGTCATATGTTCGAGTGAAGTGTTACGGTGTAAACAAACTGCTTGAGTATATACAGCACCATATTTTGTTTGGTGATTCCGTAATTCAGATCGATAACCCACTCAAAACACTGAGCTCAACCCATGCCGCCTCACTCAGTATATTTGCTAACACCAAAGAGTTCGCGATTTATTTAGTCATGGTAGAATGGAGATAAACATACTGTGTTTTCAATGTAGAGCTAGGTTACTTGTAGATTTAACCCCGCTAAATTTAACATTTGAAACCTCACGCTGCGCGTTCGGTTCCAAATTCAATTTTAACTATAATAATACAGTAAACTACGGTTATAACGAACTCAAAGGGACTACTAATTTTAGTTCGTTATAACCGTAGTTCGTAATAAACATATATACAGCATAACTACAGCAAATAGTCGGGACCAAAAAGTAAGTTCGTTATATCCGTCAGTTCGTTATAAGCGTGTTCGTTATAACCGTAGTTTACTGTAGTTATACAATCCGTGGAAATCCGGAGTGGAACAGGTCTTCAGCAACCCATCCTTGTCGGGACATGCGACTAACGGGATCGGGTGGTCAGGCTCGCTCACCTGGCTTGTGCATGTCATCGTATCACGTTTGCTCATGATATCAATCACTGGATTGTCTGGGCCAGATTCAATTATTTACAGATCACAGAGAACAACAAACAAACAAACAAACAAACAAAACATGATCACTGTTAGAACATTCAAGGACTCGTCAAAGCTTTTAAAAATGTGCATGACAGATATTGCCAAATCAGTGACAACCATGACTTGTACTCTACATGTTCCCGTTTCTTTTCAGCGCAACACTTGACATGCCTTTACTTGTGTTTGTGTTTGCAAACATGTAGTATCATCACTATTTGATAGTGATTCATAAAGACCTGATCATGGATAAGTCGGACTCGCTCAATGGACTCTGCGTTTAGGAGAGACTTCTTATAATTATAAAAATGTTTTAAAAATTCGCTTTTATATAACCTGTGGTGAGCAGGTATTGGTGTACCTACCGTGACGTTGCTAACAAAGTAATCCTCAGCATTGCTCGACTCCGAGGGAGGGAAGTCCACACGCTGCTCTGCTGGTGTTGAGTTGTCAGTGTGAACGTCTGTGTGAACATGTGTCAGTCTTATATGACGTGCCGCTGCAACCGAGCATTGGACCGCAAAGAGAGACGTGCCTGCTTTTGTGCCTTCTTGGTGACGTTTGTTAAAATACAATCAGTGTGCGTTACTTAACAGCAGTCCAATACTCTAAACGTATTGCTGACAGGGGCGTTCAATGTCATTAACATTTATTTACTGCTGTGATGAAGGGATAAGTGAGTGAATATGGTTTTTCGCCGCTTTTAGCAATTTCCAGCAATATCACGGCGGGAGACACCAGAAATGGGCTTCACACATTGTACCCATGTCGAGAATCGAACCCGCGTTTTCGGCGTAACGAGCGAACGCTTTAACCTATAGGCTACCCGACCGCCCCTATGAAGAGATGAAGAATGTGTATTAATGCATTCATCCCTTTCACTCACTCACTCACTCACTCATGCACTCACGCAGGCGCACATGCACGTGCATGTGTGTACACACATGATAACGTTTTCCTATAGGTGTACACGTGTACTATGTGAAAAAACAGGACCACTATTGTATTTGCATGGCGTGTCCCTAGACGTAGATTTTGAACAAAACCATCAAAACCTTAAAAAGGATTATAAGCTGTTGAACGCTCCGTGAAGATCCTGGTTTAAACTGGTCTTCAGCATCCCATGTGTGTCGTAATTGAAAAAGGCGACTATGCTTGTTACTAACATGCGACTAACGGGATCAGTTGGTCAGACTCGCTGACTTGGTTGATGCATGTGATCGCATCCCAATTGCGTGAATAGATGATCACGATGTCAAACACTGGATTGTCTGGTCCGGAATCGATCATTTACGGACCACCATCAGATAGATTGAAATATTGCTGAGAGAGGCGTTGAACAACAAAGAAACAAACAAACAATTATTAGCTTCTGTCTCCTACTTGCAGTTTCAATCTTCTCAGCGAAAGCACCTGGTCGCACAACTCGCTCTGATTTAGTGTAGGTGAACCCCGTAGGCAGAGTGAGTGAGTTTGGTTTTACGCCGCTTTTAGCAATATTCCAGCAATATCACGGCGGGGGACACCAGAAATGGGCTTCACACATTGTACCCATGTCGGGAATCGAACCCGGGTCTTCGGCGTGACGAGCGAACGCTTTAACCACTAGGCTACCCGACCGCCCCTATTGCATATGGAAATGATTGTGTCTCTTTATTTATAGGAACGGTGCCAGGTGCCAGGCACAATAACAAGAGCCATATTTTAACGTTTTGTCATTGGCAGAAAATTCCACATTGTGAACTACTTAAACATAAGTTGTGAAAAACCCAAATATTTCATATTACTATAGTTTATCTGTCATGGCTTAATATACTACTCAAGTTAAAGAACACGCGACGCTTTTAAACTATCAAAGTAAGTCTGGTAAATTTGTTTGTTTGTTGTTTAACGCCGCACTCGATCCACGCCATTGGGATCGATGAGAAGCATCAACCAAGTCAGCGAGCCTGACAACCCGATCCCGTTAGTCGCCTCTTACGACAAGCATAGTCACTTTTTACGGCAAGCATGGGTTGCTGAAAACCTATTATCTTGCATGGCATAGTTTACTATTTGAAAGAAGGACACCCGATTCGTGTGATCTTTAACTCCTCATATTAGCTGTTTGAAATGTCCCCACCAGCGAAGGCACAATACACAGGTGGCAATGGAATGCGACTGCGTTAAGACTGGTTTCAGCTGTCAACACTTGGTGAAGACAAATTCAAGTTTAATTGTGACTTCTTAAATGATAAATTTCAATGGATAGATACGCCAGTCTCCCAGTGGCGACGCCTGATGTACATGGACAAGCTGACAAGTCACAACAAAACATCAGCTGCTGGTTCAAGCACCGAGTGCGTCTATTCCATGCTATTCTCACTGGGTGTGATCAAGCGTTGTTGTAAGACTGCACTTCTATTCGTTGTATTTCGATGGAACTTGTTTCGTTGTTTCTGTGCAAGCTGTCCTGTTAGTCACTGTCCCTATCAGACTCAGTCTCCCCCCTCTGATACAACATGGACAACATGACATTCTCTGTATGGCATGTCACCAAAAGGTTTTGTTTGAATAATTCAGGATATAAACATTGTGTGTGTATTGTTGTATGTGTGTTTGCGTCTGTCACTCTCTCCTACTGTCTCTCTCTCTCTCTCTGTGTCTCTCTCTCTCTGTCTCTCTCTGTGTGTGTCTCTCTCTCTGTGTGTGTGTCTCTCTCTCTCTCTGTGTGTCTCTCTCTCTCTCTCTGTGTCTCTCTCTCTGTGTCTCTCTCTCTCTCTGTCTCTGTCTCTCTCTCTCTCTCTCTCTCTCTCTCTCTCTCTCTCTCTCTGTTTCTCCCTCTCCTACCAAGGCCGTAGTTAACTTTTGTTTTGACGGGGGGATCACTTGTCCCCAACTTGATTCAAATAAAACTGTTTTCTATAAAAAATCTAGGGGGGCAAAAAATCTCCCCCCCCCTCCCCGGCTGGCTACGGCACTGCCTACTCTCTCTTTCTCTCTCTTCCTATCTCTCTTTCCTACTCTCTCTTTCATTCTTTCTCTCTCTCCTGTACTCTCTCTGTCTCTCTCTTTTTTTTCTCTCTCTTTTCTCTCTTTTTCTCTCTCCTACTCTCTTTCCTTCTCTTTCTCCCTTTCTCTCTCTATTTTTCTTTCTCGTTCTCTTTCTCTCTCTCTTTTTCGCTCTCCTACTCTCTCTTTCTCTCTCTCTTTTCTCACTCTTTCTCTCTCCACTCTCCCTCTCTGTGTTATTGTGCTAGCCGACTGAAATACCATGCCCCTGTTTAACACTGAACTGAGACACAAACTGAACAATCCTTCTTTTATCCCCTTGGTGACGAGCGTTAGATAGGGTGACAGCAAGTCGTTTGGTATGGCACGGTCGGTGATCGAATACCATAGAGGCAGAATGGATGATGCATCTCTGCTAGTGATGTACATGTGAGTGGGTAGCCAAATCGGCTGAGGTGCCATTTCATATTTCATCAGATCAGATATAACAAGTGCTTCAAAGTGAAGTTATATCGTCACTCCAAATAGTCTGACTTTTGTTGGTCCACACGTAAAAGGCACTTTTATTAAACACCCATTATCCCCAAAGAATATGAGTGAGTGAGTGATTTGGTCCAACGCCATCTTGAACAGCATTTGATTTATATCACGGCGTGTCAGCTCAATAGGAAAATGAATGGGAAGCCGAAATCCTTTTACTATTTTGGTAAAACCCACGAGCACGTGTATGATGCTGAAATAGCAACAGGTCAAATTAAGATCTCACGAATGTACTGATAATATGTGATTTGTTACATAGGACACGAGTTGATGAAAGTGGATAGACACGCAGCTGTAGTATTATATCCTACACCCCTCACACGCACCTGTCAGTCAGTTCCAGAAGCCCAACTACATACAACAGATATACCCCTAAACACAGACAGTTTACTGTGTAGCTGTCGTTCTATTTAGCTTTGTTTAGGAGACCAGTGAGACCGCCTCAACTTTGTCAGATCCAGAAGCCCAACTACATACAACAGATATACCCCTAAACACAGACAGTTAACTGTGTAGCTGTCGTTCTATTTAGCTTTGTTTAGGGACCAGTGATACCGCCTCAACTTTGTTAGTTCCAGAAGCCCTACTACACACAATAGATATACCCCTAAACACAGACAGTTAACTGTGTAGTTGTCGTTCTATTTAGCTTTGTTTATGGGACTAGTGAGACCGCATCACCTTTGTCAGTTCCAGAGGCCCAACTACACACAGCAGATATACCCCTAAACACAGAGAGTTAACTGTGTAGTTGTCGTTCTATTTAGCTTTGTTTATGGGACTAGTGAGACCGCCTCAACTTTTTCATAGATAAATATTTGCATAAAGATACAGGATGACAAAACAGTCAACTTTCCCTACATGTCGAGCTGAGATACAATCAAGCATGCTCTTTCTACCAAGATTTCAAAGTGCGTCATAAGACTTTTGCTCAGCAGTTGTTTGATCAAGGCTACAACATTCAAGGCCTCAGTGAAGCTTTCAAAACGTTTCATGGTCGACATGTGGAGGACATTCCAAATTTCACGCATCAGTGACAAAAATGATGTCCGATGCAGTTCCCTATTTTGACTTGTACCATATGTTCCCATGGGTTTTTAGGTGAACAATTCACTTGCCTTTGCATGTGTTTGTGATGGGTGCCACCGGTGGGGCAGGATACGCTCATCTCTTCGCGAACACCTGGTATCATTACTATTTGATAGTGATTGATAAACACATGCTCTTGATACAGTCGGTGTCGTGCAATGTCTATGTCTGTTAGATATGGAAAGGGTTTATTTACTTTAATGAGTGTACGCCTCCTGATTGGTCATTCTCTTGTGTTGATGTTTTGTATTTACTGGGTGATTTTCTCTGTGTAACGCCTCTTTGAACAGAATTTCCGTTTTATCTAGGCGTGTCAGCTTGATGTGGGAGGAGTGAGTGAGTGAGTTGGGTTTAACGCTGCTTTGAACAGTACTCCAGTTCTATCAAGGCGTGTCAGCTTGATGTGGGAGGAGTGAGTGAGTGAGTCTGGTTTAACGCTGCTTTGAGCAGTACTCAAGTTATATCAAGGCGTGTCAGCTTGATGTTGGAGGAGTGAGTGAGTGAGTTGGGTTTAACTCTGCTTTGAACAGTACTCCAGTTATATCAAGGCGTGTCAGCTTGATGTGGGAGGAGTGAGTGAGTGAGTTGGGTTTAACTCTGCTTTGAACAGTACTCCAGTTATATCAAGGCGTGTCAGCTTGATGTGGGAGGCGTGAGTGAGTGAGTTGGGTTTAACGCTGCTTTGAACAGTACTCAAGTTTATCAAGGCGTGTCAGCTTGAGGAGGGAGGAATGCCCAAGTGATGCAGGTCTTAGACGTTTACCATTTTGATTAAACCCACGGTGCTAACAAACCTAGAAACAAAAGGGCGAATCCGGGATTCGAACACTTGACCAGAGGTTTCCAACGCGCTTAAGGGACGTAACTCTGCACAACGAATTACGGCGACAAATACTACTGGCCCAACCGTGTCCTGTGATCGCTTTGAAGGTCGGCGAGTCAGGGTGGGCAAACGTTCAAGTCATTGGCTGCACAATACCTGCGTGGAATTGGTACATATTGGTTCAGGGAAATGGTTCAGTGTCATTTCCCAACTGGGTATAATCACGCCTATGAAAGTGCCTTGAGTACCAGCTTTTCTCAGAGAAACAGTATTTGCCAACCCTTAATCTTTATTATCTGCACTAGATGTCTGAGAGAATCAGATTTCAGAGAATAACAATCTATGTGAAAATGGAAAGATGGACATACGTTTTCATTTACATTTTCTTGTAAACATGTCATTATCAGAATAATTTTATGTTGGTGTACTGTCACATGTTGTGTGTAATATTGCATTTGCGGAATATTTCATTTCCTGGTGTAAATAGGTGTCCTGTGTTGTAACTATTCCTTGCATATTCTCTGATGGTGAGTACAGCCTTTATCATATACCTTCCACTCTGCACCGTGACCCTTGTTTTCTGGAATAATATAACAGTTGTTCTTGTGGAGTTCATATCCGTCACACATCTTCTTGGATTTCAGGCATGCCCTTTCACAACCTCTTCTATCGACATTTTTTAGTTTTTTGTCATATTTTGTGTCACAGATAAAGTTGGACTGTTTCTGAAACTTGGTACTGTACACCTTGCAATCTGGAACAGGGAGGAACACAATAGTTGGTTTATATGTTTAACAAAGAAGGTTGACGTTTCACTATCTGGGGTCAGTCAGCCGACGTGGTCTACATACCTCGGACGCACCTGTTCTTGTCGGGGATGAGGCTGTAGCCCATCTCGCAGTTAGGTTTACCTGGAACACAAACAGGAGTTACATCCTTACTGTCGTTACCTTGTTATAAGAAGTCGTATACAGGCAGAAAATTCCTCTCTTTCACTTCCTACTTACAAGTAGTCTATACAGACAGAAGTCATTTTTACCTTGTTTCCTGGTTATAAGGAGTCGTACACGAAAGGCACGATTAGTTACTGTGAACTGTCACATACAACGACAATAATAATACTAATAATACAGTGATCTAATATAATCATTTATATTGTTGAATTTTCTGTCCCTTTTGACACTAACGTGATTGACAAGATTCAGAAAAAAACATGGCAAATATGCGGACCTCGCTTTTGAAATGTCACACTTGCATCCCAAGTACCAAGTCCGACTCCCCATTGTTCTTGGTGCCTTAGGTTTGCTACCTCCCAAATCTATTGACTGACATTGGGAGAGTACCCGGGTTTGCTACCAGGAATACAGCCCTTCTGACAATCTGGGTAATGCAGAAGGCTGCAGTTTTAGGGAGTCTTCACTTTTTCGGAAAAGCTCTGGATTGGTTCCCGTCTGGGCAGCGTGTAGAGGGGGCAAGGGTCCCGAGCTGATGATGAGCCTAACCAGACTGACTGTGCCAGGAAAACCCAAACCTTCTTTGCTGCATTTTTTAAAATTTTAATCTGTTCCTCCTAATATCAATCACTGGTTTATCTGATGACTCAATTAATTACAGGCAGGTATCATACAGGTTGAATACTGCTCAGTACGGGGCTCAGACTTTTGTTGGAAACAATTTTGCAAAACATGTTTTTAAGGGCAGCCAGCATGTCCAATGAAGACACATTGTTTTTTACAAGTATTTCCTGACAAAAGCTTTATTTCTTTAATTAAATCCAAAGTAATATGAAAAGGGTTCTCTTACTTATTCTTTGCTCATGCATCGTGGGAGATCAGATTGTATGCAAATGTGTTACAGTAAATTAATTATGATTCTGGTGTTCACACGTTTTCTCCTCTGTGGTACCTCTTAACTATAAGCCCCGTGGGGATCCCAGGTAAGAGGGTTCCCCCAGCAACCTATGCTGGTCGTAAGATCGGGTGGTCAGGCTTGATGAAATAGTTGGTAGCATGTTATTGTTTCTGATCATTGTCCACTATGTCACTAGATGGTCTGATTCAGATTCGATTAGACCCAAGCTTGCTGTACCAGTCGACTATGCTTGACGTAAAAGGTGACTATGCTTGCTGTAAAAGGTGACTATGCTTGACGTAATAGGTGACTAACGGGACTGGGTTGTAAGGCTCACTGACTTTGTTGATGCATGTCATCGTATCGATGTTCATAACGTCAATCACTGGATTGTCTGGCCCAGACTCGATTATTTACAGACCACCGTCGTATAGCTGGAATATTGCTGTGTGTGGCATTAAACAAGAAACAAATTATATACAGAACGCCATCCTGGGGCGGGGATATTGCACAAATCATAAACATGTACCAAAGCTCAAGAAAGGAAGGGAGACAAAACAATCATGAGCATCGATCCACGCAATTGAGATACGATGATACACATCAACCAAGTCTGCAAGCCCGACCACCCCATCACCTTAATCGCCTCTTTGGACAAGCATAGTTGCATTTTACGGCAAGCATAGTTTGCTGAAGACCTATTCTACCCCGGATCTTCACGGGTATTATGATGTAAGTATTCAGTAAACTTACAATCCCTCATGTATTGTTCACATCCTTTCTGTTTTCTTTCCCAGGTCTTCTCAAGTGAGGTCATATCCCATTCCATGGTGTAACAGTTTCCTTTATAAATGTGAAATGCTCCACAGGTGAACTTTTTCTCGTGTCGACATTTGTGTTCACAGGTCTTAGCTGTTGTTTTGGGGTACTTCCTTTTGTATTTCCGAAAACAGTGATGTGTCGACTGTTTTGTGAAACTATGGGCATATGAGACACACTCTGTAAAAGAGAGTAAGCAGGTAAGGGCCGACACTATGATTAAACTGTTCATTGGAATTGTCACCTTGGAGTTTGCTTAAATAACGTATAACACAAGACAGTGATAACATCGTATTTTCTCTAAACTACTCACAACCTACACAAGGATACCCGGATTCTCCACCATATGTACAGGTATATTGCTGTTCATTCTATTACAGTGGAATCGTATGGCAATTATTTTCTTAGAAAATGTATAACACACGACAGTGATAAATTCGTACTTTCTCTAAACTGCGCGCAACCTAAACAAGGATACCCGGATTCTCCACCATATGTACAGGAATATTTTTTTATCAGTTGCTGAGGTGGACTATTAGACAATTAGGGATGAAAGAGACTCAAGTGACAAGCAAGCAAAAGGGTAAATTAACCTACACAGTGGCCCTAAAAAGACGTTCACGAATGAGAATCACAGAGAGAGGCACCTAATCGCCAGCACACAAAGTCAGCAATCTAACCCACTCAGTCACCGAGCCTTTCACAAAAATGAGATTCCGACAACTGGTAGTTTAGATCACGTACTTTGTGTACCCCTCTTACAAGTGTACATTGGAACCGCACCCATACGTTTTTGGACCGAGTTCTGTCCAGGATTCGAACCCACACTGCCATAGTGAGACACTTTAACGTCAGCGCGCAAAGTCAGCAATTTAACTGCCTCAGCATCTAAAAATAGAAGTCCGACAACTTGTAGTCCAGATCACATACTTTGTGTATCCCTCTGAAAAGCAGAAATTGGTACGGCTCCCATGGCCTAAAGCTATGAATATACAATGCCTTTTAGAAGGTGGTCAAATGTAAGACATGGAGTATTTGGGTTGATGGGACTCAAACAAAAAATGTTTGAGAATTTGTACTTTACCAAGAAAGTGTTATACTAGCCACATAAAGAAACTGTGCACGGAGAAAATATAGATATAAGGGCACACCGTCCACATATGAATGTAGGTTTGAACACAGCAATTATTGGAGACATTCAAACGCTCATGCACGTGCCATGCGATATGACGTCATTGATGGGGGCCTATGGACGTGCAATGTGTTACTGCACGTGCATCCTGTGCAGCTGTGCACAACATGTTGAACTCAAAATTCACTGTCACTTTGGAAAGCATGATCTGTGGTCATTCAAAAATTCAAAACTTCTCAGGCGCAGACACAAGCATATGACAAGCAAATCATGCCAAGATTGACAGCTGCACAGCGTCATGAAGCCATTGGAATGATCCGAGCGGAATGAGGCAACAACAGGTGGCAACACATTTCCAATGCCATCGTAACATTGGTGAGGCATTGGTGAGGCGTTATCAGAACACAAATGACGTTGCCGACCACCCACGTTCAGGACATCCCCGAGTAACGACGCCAAGACAGGACAGATGGATTCGAGTTACACATCTCCGACACAGGTTCCAAACGGCAGTAACGACGTCCCAGACATTTCCTGGACTGCGCCATATCCATCCCAAAACTGTCAGGAATCGTTTACGTCAGTACGGGATTCGACCACGACGCCCTGCCATACGTCCCATCCTGACACACCGTCATCGCGTCAACCGTCTGAGATGGTGTCGAAATCATATTCTCCAACCTCGAATATGGTGGAGAAATGTTGTCTTTACAGATGAATCGAGGTTCAACATTTCCCAAAGTGACAGGCGCCAACGTGTCTACCGGCGTTTGAACGTTATGCACGCAACTGTATTGTGGAGAGGAATCGTTTTGGAGGTGGCTCTGTGATGATTTGGGGTGGGATAACAGCACGGCACCAAACCCCTTTGGTGGTTGTTCAGGGCAATCTCACCGGTGTTGGCTACAGAGATCAGATTCTGAGACCTGTGGTCATTCCTTTCCTGCAACGTCATGGCCCGGGATTGACATTTCAACAGGACAACGCTCGTCCTCACACGGCTAGGGTCGCAATGGATTTCCTTCACCATAACAATGTCATGTTACTGCCATTGCCTGCAAATTCTCCAGATCTCTCCCCAATAGAGCATGTGTGGGATGAAATGGAGCGCCGTCTGCGTCGTCTTCCACATCCTCCAGATAACGTCCGTGACTTGGCACAGGATTTGAGGAGGATATGGCAGGCCATTCCCCAGGCCTTCCATGCCCATTTGGTGGACTCCATGCGTCGCCGATGCACTGCTGTGATTCACGCACAGGGTGGTCATACCCGTTATTGACTTTGTGACTTTGTCGTTTGACCCCCTACTCCATTTTGATCTTCTGACGTCATCGTAACAGATGTTGTTCAGGTCCCGTGGGCATTTTCTTATGGTCCGATCATTCAGCTGCTACAGCGTCTGCATCATTTTGTTCTTGCTGTGTTGTATTTCAATCCAGAATATATTTTCTCCGTGCACAGTTTCTTTATGTGGCTAGTATACATTACATTTGTTAGATTTGACCAATTTCTAAACGGCATTGTGCATTCACACTTTATCAGGAGTCAAATAATTACAAATACTGAAGGAATGAGCTAAGAATGAAACAATTGAAACATTCTGTCCAGCTGATGAAAATTTCAACCTATCAGATGATCTGTTTTATGGTGTACCCTGTTTTATATGAGCACATTGTTATGGTGCAACCTGGCATCGAACTCCCAACCCTCCGCCCTCCAGGCAGACACTCAAGCCACACCCCAGAGGCAGTCATATTGAGGACCCAGTGCCCAATCCACATGCCAGAAAGGCCGTAACACACATATGCATCACGTTGATATAATTTGCACTGCACGTTAACAGTGTTAATTTGTACTGATAATCGTGACTCGGTTGACAAATCCCATAACACTCTAGTTAGAAATTCTGGTCAGCATGTCACCTGAAAGTTCCACTATTTGGTAAGAAATTGAAATATTATGGAGACACATTTTTTTTTCTCATAAAAAGGACCTTACAAAATGCATTCACTTGATACAGCTAATCAGCAGTTCTTCATTGCTGATAGGTTATCTGGTGATTTGTACGTCGAATTGACGTTTCGAGCATGGCGGCTTCACACATACATTCCATGAGAGTTGATGTTTACATTTTCTCATACGATTTCAAAAAAGAAAAAAACATTTTTGCAGGATTTAGGCATGCATGTTTGCTGATGTAAAAGTAAACGTTTTCCTGTTTCTAATCACCTGAAACCACCATAACACTCCCCTTCAGTATATGTCTCCACCATCAAGAAGTACATGTTCTTCCATTGTTTACATGCAACAGCAAAAATACTTCCGTTTCTATCTATCCTATTTGCATACTATGCCTTGTACCACTGGGATATGACATACATTACAGGTTTCCACATCGTTTGGCAAGATAAAACGTCGCTGTATAAGTGAAAAATACTAGAAGTGACGTTAAATCCCATTTAAGGGAATTGATCGATGACGCAATTAACGACATGTAACCATCTTGTGTTTTTGACGATTCTAGATGGTATCTCAGGACACGTGATAGACAAGTCAGACTCGCATCTTGTGATCGGTGAGCTTCATTTGTCAATTCTGTGACGAGCCTGTCCTGTCCAGTTAGTTGTGTATTCAGCGATCGACGCAGTTATGCGAGTATCAAACATTGTGTTGCATTAATTCTTGTATAGGCGTCCGACAGTTCATGAATGTTTGTTATTTAGGTTTTTTAGGTGCTTCGTTTCATGGACACATCGCCTCAGGATCAGAGAACTTCTCATTTCCAGAGAAGACTCTCACAATGACGAGACGGAACGGCAATATGTAGGTAGCTGCGGAAGCGTCACCTGGGGACCCTAGGGCATGTTACAACACCAGTGACACAATATGGTGACTACTAGTTACCTCCGACACAGGTGCCCACTCCAACAACGAAGCTATATCCGCGACTGCACACGCACTTGTTGTCTCGACACTGGTACTGGGGTCCATCACAAACATCACAGTGGCTACCTGTTAACCAAACAAAGTCATAACTTGCTATACGTGTAGTCATACACACACAAGCTCCCTTTTATGATATTTGTTTACCGTTATAGCTCTTCTTCAATGAGGTCTACCTTAGGATCTCAATTGGCAGTTTTGGTGTTGACAGATAGCATTTTCGTTTTCTACTTACCTTTCTGCAGTGCTTACAACCTCCTTCCATCGTTACCCAAAACCAAACAAAGTCATTCCTAAGCTTTGCACAGCGGTCATGAGACACATTACATTTAGGAGATAAACATACTGTGTTTTCAATGTAGAGCTAGGTTACCTGTAGATTTAAACCCACTAAATTGAATTTGGAACCGAACGCACAGCGTGAGGTTTCAAATGTTAAATTAAGCGCGGTTAAATCTACAGGTAACCTAGCTCTAGATTGAAAACACAGTATGTTTATCTCCATTCTGCCATGACTAAATAAAACGCGAACTCTTTGGTGTTAGCAAATATACTGAGTGAAACGGCATAGGTTGAGCTCAGTGTTTTGAGTGGGTTATCGATCTGAATTACGGAATCACCGAACAAAATATGGTGCTGTACATACTCAAGCAGTTTATTTAAACCGTAATACTTCACTCGAACATATGACAGGCATTGAAAGCATATAAGCAAGGAAACTTGGTAAGCTAACATAAGGTGGGCATTCCTAAAGAAAACAAAGCAAGCTTTGCAAGGCTTTCGCTCTACATCACACGTCACCATTATGACGTCATATCGCTCACTGTGACGCAAAAAATATGACATCACAGTCGTATATAGAAAAGCGACAAAATTCCAAGCTCTTTGTTGTCTCCAAAACGTAAATACATTCCCTTTGTAGATTTCTGTCGTGTTTTTCTGCACGAAATGTATTGCCACACATCCTTTGAATATTGTAGTAACCGCATCTATGCATTTTGTAACCTGTAATTGTAGATATAATTATTTAAATATGCCTACCGACAATGACTGAAAATAGTACTATTCTATGAATATTAGCTTCCGCGGTGATGCGGCCGTCAAACTAGCTGTTTCAATCAGAGGGGGCTTATTGTGATTTAATAGCCTCTGATTGACCAATCAGTATCGAGTAAATTCCAAATTCATGGTAGAATTATCCTTTATACCTCTTCAGTAAATTCTACCTTATGATCCCAATTGGCAGTTTTGGTGTTGACAGATAACAGTGTTAAGTACGTCGTTTTCTACTTACCTTTGTGGTTGCAATCGCTTGTGTTGTGCACACAGCCTCCTTCCCACGTTACCCAAACCTTGAGCTGATAATATTTCAGTTTCCATTTGATGGTAAGACACCCTTTGTCATATATTTAACAAAAGCACATTCAAAGTCGCACCTGAGGCATTTCTTCTGCACCACTCAATGCCGTGATCAGTGCATTTCTTCTGAAACTTCCGCATAAAGAGTCCTGTCTGTAGTTCAGGGAAGGAATCCTTAAAAGAGCTGCACTTACTTGGTTCAGAAATGCACCATACTTGATAATATTTAGGGATAAGAGATTTGGACATGAAGTAGGATTCTCATGGGCACCGGTTGTGCTCCTCTTCTTGCTGATCTGTTCATGCATATGGATAGGAACTGCTCGGATTGGCAGAATCAAAACAAGGAATTTGGCCAAGAAGTTTAACTTAGGCCTTAGGAACATCGATGATCTGATGTCATTCAATAACAGTCAAATAGTCGTTTTCTAATTACCTTTGTGGTTGCAATTTCTTGTGTAGTGCTTACAGCCTGTATATGGTTGCCAAATCTCATGTTGAAAGTATTTGAGTTTCCATTTGCTGATATGACACGTATCGTCATACATTTCGAAACTTCCACATTCAAAGTCGGACATAATGCATTTCTTGTGGCACCAGGCAGAGTTGCGGCCTGCATATTTCTCCTGGTACTTCCACATACAGAGTCCTTCTTGCTGGACAGTGAATGAATCCTTGTAACTGCTGCAACCTGAATCAGCATTGATTACTTCATGAATGCACACTACTTGAAGTTATATTTTAGCAGTGAACATCTACTAATTTAAATTATCCGAGATATATTAGTACGCCAATCAAGCGATTATAAATGCATGATTTACCACTGCATGTAGATTCAATGCAACATTCTACCACTGAGCATGAAATCATCACTATTGGTGATTGGTCCTGTTATCAGTGGAATTTAAGTCACCTCTGCTATAGCCATAATATATTATAACTTTATAAAACTCATGGACATTCCGGTTAACTTAGGTGCTAGGGGGTTCTAGAGGTGACTTAATGGATTGCTAAACAGACACTGTGACTTGGTTGATTGCAAGTCAGTATCCCAACTGTGAAGACCGAGGCTCTGGATATCAGTCATTATACTCTGTATAGGTGGTTATCTGGCGATCATATGGTTGGAGTGCTGCTATCGAGCGTGGCGTTAACAAACAAAACATGTACCCTCCAGCACATAACAGGCGTTTGGCTACGACTGTTTAACTATGGAAATGTTCCTTTTGTTGAATAATTCAATAGTTTACTATACTGCCCATGGGAAGTTATTCTAATTGTAACAATGCTCAGCACCTGTTGTGTCGAATTTTTTTAAACAAGATGCCAATTTCCAGCTAACTCTACACAGGGCATTTTATGCCATTTTATTAACTGCGTGATTGAATACTTCATGAAAGTTGATTTAGTAACAAAAGGTGTGGTTTTTGAATGACCTGATACAAAATTGCAAGGACAACATGCACTGGAAGTTGGTATAATTTCACTGTAGTTTAACACAAGAAACATTTTTCCATAATTGTGCATTGGTTATTGATGGTCACAGTTCAATTCAACGTGACTGCTCATTTGATTGTACCTTGCATGAGTATCAACAGCAGTGTTTCATTCAAGACCGAAAAAAATCAAATAATAACAATAACAATAAATTAAGTCGTTGGTAATTTGCATATCCACACACAAGAATGGCAAACCTGCTGAATAGATGGTGCTTACCTTTGACACATTTGCCATCTGTTGTGGTGCTGAATCCAATGTTGCAAACACACGTCTTGTCTTTACAGATGTAATTGGGCTGTCTGCATGTCGTCAAACAATCTCCAGCTGGACGGAACAATGTATTACCTATATTAAACTTGCTAAATAATGTTTGGTCTATTACATCAAACCGCGTAGACCCGTGAAGATTGCGGGGTAGAATAGGTCTTCAGCAACCCATGCTTGCCGTAAAAGGTGACTATGCTTGTCGTAAAAGGCAACTTACGGGATCGGGTTGTCAGGCTCGCTGACTTGGTTGATGCATGTCATCGATCCAAATTGCGTGGATCGATGCTCATGGTATTAATCACTGGATTGTCTGGTCCAGACTCGATTATTTACAGACCGGCGTCATATAGATGTAATATTGCTGAGTGCGGCGTTAAACAACAAATCAACCAACCAACCAATCAAACCGCGTACTGCTAACTACAGTGAGCGACACTGACTCTATCTAATATGACTGATCTCAACTGAAAACAAATAGAAATAGTATTTGCCAAATACACTGGGGCAAATCCAAACCAATATTACCCAAAGCCAATCTGTACCTCCCAACTGCAAGTTCGTTTATTGGGGTAGTTGAATGTAGACACATTCCACAGACAACAAAATATATGGATAAATACAAGCGACAATACCCTTTCGATATTTATACGAGTCCATTGTTTGATTCTGACCTCATTACGAGCTTGTGTTTCTGAATCACTATAATAGTGATGATACCAGTTATTGGCAGAAGGTTGAGCGTTTCCTTCCCCATCCTTCCCCATCCTTCCTCATCCTTCTCCATCCTTCCCCATCCTTCCCCATCCTTCTCCATCCTTCCCATCCTTCTCCATCCTTCTCCATCCTTCCCATCCTTCTCCATCCTTCTCCATCCTTCTCCATCCTTCCCCATCCTTCTCCATCCTTCCCCATCCTTCCCCATCCTTCCTCATCCTTCCCCATCCTTCCCCATCCTTCTCCATCCTTCCCATCCTTCTCCATCCTTCCCCATCCTTCTCCATCCTTCCCCATCCTTCTCCATCCTTCTCCATCCTTCCCCATCCTTCCTCATCCTTCTCCATCCTTCCCATCCTTCTGCATCCTTCCCCATCCTTCCCCATCCTTCTCCATCCTTCCCCATCCTTCCTCATCCTTCTCCATCCTTCTCCATCCTTCCCATCCTTCTCCATCCTTCCCCATCCTTCTCCATCCTTCTCCATCCTTCCCCATCCTTCTCCATCCTTCCCCATCCTTCTCCATCCTTCCCCATCCTTCCCCATCCTTCTCCATCCTTCTCCATCCTTCCCCATCCTTGGCACCGACCACAAACACATGCAGCATGTCAATTGTTCATGTTGTGTGTTGTTTGTTTGTTGTTTAACGCCGCACTCAGCAATATTCCAGCTATTTGACGGAGGTCTGTAAATAATCGAGTCTGGACCAGACAATCCAGTGATTGATATCATGAGCATCGATCCACGCAATTGGGATACGATGACATGCATCAACCAAGTCAGCGAGCCTGACCACCCGATCCCGTTGGTCGCCTTTCACGACAAGCATAGTCACATTTTACGGCAAGCATGGGTTGCTGAAGACCTATTCTACCCCGGAATATTCACGTGGAAAAATATTGTTCATGTAAAACATACACGGGGATATATGGTACAAGTCAAAATAGAAAATTGCTTCTGACATAATCTCTGTCACAGATACGCCAGATTTGGGAATCTCACCCACATGTCTGCTATAAAACTTTTTGAAGCTTTACTGAGATCTTAAATGTTGCAATCTTGATCAAACAGCATTGGAACAAGAGTCGTATGACGTATCGTAGGAAGAATACATGTTTTGTTCTCTGAAGGGAGGAGCTGAATATATATATATATATATATATATATATATATATATATATATACATACATACACACACACATATATATATGTGTGTGTGTGTGTGTGTATATATATATATATATATATATATATATATATATATATATATATATATATATATATACACGCAACAAATGTTTTCAGGGCATGTAATTTTATTATGACCAGAGTCTTAATATTGTTTCCAATATCTTCGTGAACAAATTGCTTATCCCCAAAATGACAGGCGATGCGGGAATATGGAATGGTCGGTTCTTAAGTCAAATAGAGGCACTCCCCTTTATGGTCGGGTAGCCCAGTGGTTAAAGTGTTCGCTTGTCCCCGGGTTCGATTCCCAATTTGGGCACAATGTGTGAGGCCAATTTCTGGTGTCCTCCGCCGTGATATTGCTGGAATATTGCTAAAAGCTGCGTAAAACCATACTCACTCACTCTGATTTTTTTCAATTTAAGACTTAAGATTTAAGCGCATTTCGAATTTTACATATGAATTTGGAGCAAATGTTTTCCGTTGGCTTTTAAAAAATGGACAAAGCAACATGGCTCATGTCGCTGAGTTACACGTTCCTTCACTGGAAAGCGGCGTTAAACCATACTCCCTCACTCCCTCACTCCCTCCCTCACTCCCTCCCTCACTCCCTCCCTCCCTCACTCCCTCACTCACCTTCATGATCACATCGACGAGTGTAGTGAGAACAGGACGGGGCATAATACCAGTCTTTGGAATCAAAAGATACCTGGTCCCACATCGCAGTGAAACACATCTCTCCGGTAAAAGCGAATGCAGCACACTTAAAGTTCTCACTGAGACATTTGTCTCTGCATTTCTCGAGAGAACTGATCCGATAATTTGAGTCTGGATACACTCTCTGGCATCTTGCGGTTGCATGCTTTGTGAAGGTCTTGGCGAAAGCATTGCAACCTTTAACAGAAAGCAAGGTAGGTTGATATGCGTGAAAAACTATATTCGATTTTTAATATCCATATCTGAAAGAGCAGACCTTTATGTTCATCTCATCTAGGGGAAACCATTACAACATTTAACAGAACAAGAGGTGCATGTGGGCTGGTATGCATGAAAAGCATGGACTTGTAAATGTATATCCTTGTTTGGAAGAGTAAACCTTTATGGTGAAAGTATTACAACATAATTAAACCACAAGGTTCATCATGTTAAATTACTCAGACGGAAAACTAATTCCTTTATATTATTAACGTTCGGTGGTTGATCATAATACCAGACGTACTTATGTTATGTGCTGTTTAAACCTGTCATCACACAAAGAATGGCAGAATGGTTAACTCATCGAAATTAAAGTTAATGTGAATCAATGACAATCACAAACAAGGAATGCTCATAAGACTACATTTACTATAAGGAATGAAATTATTGGGTCGTTTAAGGTATTTTGAAACTGATTCAACGAGTCAGTCCTTATTTCAAAAATACTAAAATCAACATTCAACTTGCATTGCTAGAATGTAATTCTCTATACCTGTCCCAACAAAAAGATAAAAATGTAAGTATTACAACAAGGTTACTGGCAACTTATCTCGGTAACTATTATTTAAATATGTTTTAATATGTAACATATCTGAAAACAATAGCTATGCCTTATTCCCTGCAAATAAGAATGTGATCTCTGGACATCGACTGTGAACGCAGAGAACAGGACCAAACAAACTGACAGTCCTTTATACCAGGGAGTTTCAACCCTCACAACCAATATTTCAGTGTGAAATGTATTTATCTCAATCTCTCTGGCTGGTAAACTATTGTGTAGAGCCTCATGCCATCGTTTACCTTTGAGTCAGGCATGGCACACAGCCCACATGGCCCATCTGTGAAGGAACGTGTAACCTCAGCGACATGAGTCATGTTGGTGATGAAGTCAGCACCATACCCATGCTCGTTGGTTTCACTAGGGTTGTTAACGTCTTTATTTGTATCAAGACCGCCTCCGTGGTCTAATGGTAGAGCGTCCGCCCGGAGAGCGGAAGGTATATTTTGCTTTGTCCATTTTTAAAACCAACGGAAAATATTTGCTCCAAATTCATAAGTAAAACCGAAATGCGCTTAAATCTAAAGAAGTTCTTTAATTGAAAAAAATCAGAGTGAGTGAGTGAGTGAGTATAGTTTTACGCCGCTTTTAGCAATATTCCAGCAATATCAGGGCGAGGGACACCAGAAATGGGCTTCACACATTGTACCCATGTCGGGAATCGAACCCGGGTCTTCGGCGTGACGAGCGAACGTCTTGACCACTAGGCTACCCGTCCGCCCCGAAAATAAAATAAAATAAAATAAAATAAAATAAAATAAAATAAAATAAAATAAAATAAAATAAAATAAAATAAAATAAAATAAAATAAAATAAAATAATAAATAAAATATTTAAAAAAATAAAAAATAAAATAAAAATAAATAAATAAGAGTTATATAAAGATGTGTTTTGAAAACTATAAAATCTTCCATGTAAACCATTCCGCCATGTTATTGAAAATTGTTTGTTAATTTGTACATCAAAGTATCCAGCCTGAGTGTAAATAAAGCTGCGATCTGTTCTGTTCTGACTGCAACATTGTTGTATTTATCTATTTGTGTATTTTCATGAAAGTCGTAGTCATCAGTTTATTTCACTGGTGATAAATAAATCCAATGGCAAGATACAAATGCTTTTTTATGGAACATACATTGTGCTTACCTTTTACACATTTCTCATCCGTTGTGAGGCTATAGCCTACATTGCAGTGGCACAGTCCTCTGTCACACGCGTAATTTGGAGCCCTGCATGTTTTGTCACATGTTTTACCTGAAATGACAGTGATTAGGAAGTGTTACTTAACGTTTCGTATGAAGGTGAGTTAAGTTTAACGCCGCTTTGAACAGTATTTCAGTTATGTCGTTGGGAATTAGCTTAATGTGGAAGGAAATCCCGAAGTGATACAGATAGGTGAGGTGAGGTGAAATGGGGTTTAACGTCGCGTCCAAGATTATTGCACTTATATATGTATATGTGTGTGTGTGGCTGCTTGTACTAGTCCGGACCGATGCCGATTTATAGTGCTAGCACACTGAGATACCATGCCGCAGTTTAACACGAATACCCCACTCAGACACAGTATACTGACTCCGAGCCGACCAGTCCTTGTTTTAGCCCCTTAATGCCGAGCGCCAGACAGGGTAACAACAAGTACCATCTTTAAACGTCTTTTGGTATGACGCGGCTGGGGATCGAACCCCGGACCTTCCGCTCTCTGGGCGGACGCTCTACCATTAGACCACGGAGGCGGTCTTGATACAGATAAAGACGTTTATAACCTTAGTGAAACTGTCAACGCGCATGTTGACGGGGAATTAGCTCTTGGGGGAATAAAGGAGAAAATCGACATCACTGTCCAGGAACGCTTTATGCACAACATGTAAACAATAAACAACAATTGCACAATGAGCGGAATACCTGCTCTGACAACACAAACACAGCGATGAGCGGACCTTCCAGCTCAGGCGTACAAGAGGTGAGCGGAGCTCCAGCTCACCTCAGGGCGTTTCCTACGAGCGGCACATCCTGCTCGAGGTCGTCATTACACCAGCACTCGGAATACCAAGCCTGACTAACACCCTAGTAACAGTGTAATGGTAGCACATATATAGTAATGAACAAGAATGGAAAGACAATGACTTTGCTCTGGACATGGGACTTCTGGGGTTGGGGGATGAACATTTACGGCAATAAATGTCATACTATAAATAACAGTAATGAACGGGAAGTGATAAAGTAGTCCAGGTTGACTGTCAGTCAATATACAATGAAATGTTGGTGAGGATTAACAACGGGGATTAGCGCCTAAAACTTAATGACAATTAAGTTATGGAGAC